AGTTCTCTCCAGATAAAATAAGATCTAGAAATCAGCTACTTAGAGATGTGGGATTTGGATTTGTCACTTGAAAATAGAATTTCAGTCTATAGCTTTTTTTAATGTATAAATTGTTAGCCATAGGGTGTGTTAACTGTTAGGAGAAAAGTTATCTTTAGCTGCTTTAGCTAAAACTTTATCTTTAGCAGGTTTATTCAGTCTTCAGTATTCCCACTGGATGTTTCACACTTCTCAGTGAAGGCAGTGTTCCTTTCAGGTATTATGCTTTTACAACAAAAATACGGTATGTTTTTTAAAAAGAACCCATCAGTTGCAGGTACAAATAAAATGAAACAGCTCTAACCGATAGCTCTAAGTACTAGTCTGCGCTTAATAGTGAAAATGATTAGATCCACCTTTGATTTCACAGGAAGTAGCATGGCAAAGTATAGTAATATCTAGAAAATTCCTTGGATTCATTAGAATAGGAACACAGGAAAATGAATTTATTTGGAGAGAAAAGTGGAAGTTCAGATCTGAATTATATATTATCCAAACATATTATAGTTTACAAGATCACACTGAAGTAAAAATTTAGCATTGACGATAGCCTCCTTACTAACATGTTCGTTATTTAAGTATAAGCTGTCTTTTAAGTAATGATAATGTATTGCATGCAGCTACAGTGAAATAACTTCCTGTATTACATGATAGATTTTTCCAGAAGTAAGAATGTGAGTTTTCATTTTTCCTCTTATTTCTGCAGTTAAGGAACAAAGGTTTTGCCTAACTTTCCTTTTTGCCCTTAAAAGCACTTTAAGCTCCTCTGGTGCAGATACTTAACTTCTTTCCATTCTCTGCTGGGCCATGGTCCTCTGCTAATAATGTTCTAGTGATCTGAAGCCTGATTGATAACCCACTGTATAATAAATCATGCTAAAACTATATTTCTGCAAAGTTTCCCACTTAAGAGTATTCAGCTTGTGTACAGACCAGTTCGTTCTACAAACTAGGGTATTTTCTGACATTTTGTTACTGGCATAATGGAGTCGAGCGTTCCTGTCTGTGTACTAGAGTTGTTGACTTGACAACATAAGAGTCCTGTTTTTTATAGTGGTCTAGAGTGCTCTCACTGACCCTTTAGGGAGCACTCTCAGTTTAATGCCTGGTACTACTGGAGGAGGAAATGGCAAAAAGAGGAACTACAACAGGAACTGGAGGCCAAAACTTCTCCAAATGAAAACATTAAAATGGTTATTGTTTCCTCTACTACTGATGCTTAGTAGCTTAGAATTCCTGTGGGTAAAACAATTAACTTTGTTTCTACCCACATGGCTGACAGAAGATAGAAGACAATCTGATGGGTTTAGGTTTCAATCCTAATTTAAAAACTCCACGGATGCTAGGTAGACTGTCAAAAGCCAAGGAGAACGTTATGATCTACCCTTAATTGCTGAGCAGTTTCACCAGAGGATGCCAAGTTATGTTGTCTCCCACAGCAATGGTATTTCTTTCATGCGTGTCCGTGTTCGAACTGTGGCAGCAGCAGCCCACAGAGCTTTAAGTGATGATTGCCCTGGCAGAGGAAAAAGAAAGAAGGATGAGATTAGCTTGGAAAACAATTTTGCTCCATTTTTTTATTGATATAAGCATAGCATAAAATAGTGATACCTACAACATTACTATCTGTTTCATGCCAAGGTGTATGTGTGGTTTTTCTTGTGTGTGTGTTTTTTCTTTTTTTCCTTCACTCATTCTTTTCCCTTTCAGGGCAATTCTGTCCTCTTTCTTCTCCCTGCAGTAAATTGGATAAATATATACCAGCCAAGGAAATTCAGAAATCGGGCCTTACACTGCAGTCAAAAGTTGTATGATCTTGAAGGACTGAGACTTTAGGTAATGGTGAATTGGAGTATCTGGCTACCTCTAGCACAAAAAGTGTGTTATTATGTCTCATTAGCAAAACAACACATAGAATACCTAGAAATGGAGTTTGAAGTTTTGGACTTCGACTTGAGAATGTTCAAAACCATCTGTCTTACTTCTCACCTTGCCAGTTTTAAGGTGATCTTGATGATAAGAAAGTCAAAAAAGGAAGTGCAGTAAAAACAGTGATAAAGTCCCTTTCCTTAGTCTCTCTTTTTGTTTTTGAATATTTAGGAGTGTAGGGGGAAAGAAGTGGGAGGGATATGTGAATGAATACTCTTACACAACAATGTTTTGAAAATATCTTACCTTCTGAAATGGTTAGTGCACATCTTAAAGAACTAGTTACAGATAACTTATCTTAACTCTTCTTTATTCCCCTCAAAAGTTTTTAATGAGCCTATAAACCATGATTTTCAACTGGACATGAAATGAGAATGTAATAAACAAAAAGCTGTAGCATGGAAAATAGTTTTGTAAAATAAAAACAGTTTAATCAGTAAGTTATACAGCGTTTGTTTAAAAAGCATTTCTAAGAAACTATCTTCATTTTGTTTTGGGGTTCAACCAACTTTTATTTAGTATTTATCTTAAAATTGTAGGTGAAGAAAGCGATGCCGATATAGTTTCTGTTAGAAGAAAATTTGAAGGCATTCACTTCCAGGTAAAAGTTTCAATTTCTGTTTGCTAATGTGATGGAATAATTTTGTGTCCAATGAAATATTTCAGCTATTTGAGTAGCTCATACATACCTGAAGGGATAATGCACCATCAGCCAAAGACTCTGAGATCTGCAGCTTAATGCATGTTTGTAGTCAGTATAGCAGATGGGAGGGTCAAAAAGTAATGTTGTGAAGAACAGTGTGAAGTAATTTTTATATGTTGTTATTAGAACACCAGAGAAAACTGTACAATATATTGTATAGAACAGTGACCCTGAGAAAGGCCATTATAGGTGTGGAAGAAGAATAACTATATGAATCATAAAGTGAAGAGAAAACACTTCTAAAAATATGGTTGCTCACTATAGTCTAAAATAAAGAGGGAACATGATTTAAAAAAAAAGGTAGTGGCTACCATAGCAAAAGCAGACTAGAATCTTCTGCTGTTGTTTTGCAAAACTAAACTATGGGTATTAGAACTACCCAAAGTAGTTATAAAGTGAAGAAAAGTAAAATACACATTGTGTTTGAAGCTGTTTTCCTGTGTTCTGCTTGCTCAAAGACAATTACCCAGAGCTTACTTTACTTCCCTTGCTTGTTTAACATATTGCTGTGCAGTATTGTATCTTTGAGAAATGCTGGTTCAAACTACTTCAGAAAGGGAGGCAGTTGCATTGTTGAAAGATGTTTATGATTTATTAACAAGTGCTTTTAATTGTTAAGTATAGCTGCATTATAAAGAATAATTTCTTTTGTACATGAATTCCTGGGGTGTAAATAATGTTGTGTAAATATCTTTAGCCATAATGACTAGTGCTCTGTAATCTATCATAGGGACTTTTGGGTATGATGAGGTAGAGAGGTTTCCACTGGATCAGTAAACTAGCTAGTTATCTTTCTTTATAGGTTTTTACATACAGTTCTTTCTCAGGACTTTTTTTTTTTTTTGCATAGAATGTATGTGTTAGATATCTAACCAGCATAACTCACTTTTCTTTGTCTTACTAAGACTAGTTTGAAATTGATAAATGCAAGATTTTACATACTCAAATTTATCACGTCAGTAACTTTTATATATTTTAGTTAATCTTTTTTAATTCTTTCTAAGAATTTGAGCGTCGATGATGTGGAAATGCAAGAGAAAGTAAAAGTTCAGGTGGATGTGATAGTACAAGAAGATGCTAGAAAAATTCCAAAGTGGATTACGGTAACATGTTTCTCCTGTTCCATTTGAAGTTATTAACAAATTAATAGTTCAAAGGTGCTATTTTTTTAGCTTGTTACCTTTTCTATGTATAATTGATGGAGAAAGTTAACTTTCTTGAAGATGCAGCCTTTTAAAAATAATTTTGAATTGATTTAAAAATGGATTGGAGATGGCTTATCCAAATTTATGTGGTGGAAACCAATGATACCATGCTAAAATTAGCTTTCATGAATTGTTTTGGCCTGTTTTTAAATCTGCTGGGTGTGTTGAACGCTGAATCTGTGTATCTGCATAATGTTACTCAAGTGTTACCAGTTATCATGTATGTTTCTAACCTGCTGTTCTTTCTTCAGCTCTCTCACTTCCATGGAATTGCAGTCCCCATTAAGAATAATGTAATGACTCTTTGCTTATGGGCAGCACAATGATTGCTTATAAAGACTTTCTGTTGCTGCTGTCCTCATTGCAGAGGATAAGTAGGAGAGGAGCATAAAGGTATATCATAGTATCTCGGGTCTATCACAGCAGTGATTGCAAGAGCCTGAGCAGGCAATATCCAAATATGTATTTTTTTTAATTTTGCACTCTGTTCTTTTTACTCTGTTAGTTGATCTTCATGTCAGTAAGTCTGGTAAAAAAGCCTAGTATTGAGGCTTATAGCAGAAGAAAAAATTAGTTATATTTCATTTAACGTTTGTTGTTTCCAAGCAATATTATGCAGGATATGACTTCTGTTTCCTAGCAGATTTGCTAGAGATGTGTGTGTTGTCCAGGTGTGTGTGTGTGTGTGTATATATATATGTATATCTCCATGTATAAATTCTTATATTCAGAAAATAAATTGAAATAGGATATATAATGTACAGGTTGCAAAGGTGATTAATAGCTTTGCAAAGCAACCTATTTAAAAGTGGTAATTCTTAAGAATTCTTACTGAAGTCTTAAACTAGACTTCTTCCTCCTTGTCCTAAATTTTAAACAATCCTTCTGGACCATATCCCTATACAGGATGCAGCATCATAGGGGAAAAAAAAGATGGGGAGAGTAACAGTTCTCTGAGGCTTTGATGTTATTTCTGATATGCAAAAAATTCAGGATATTATATTTATATGGGGTTTTTTCCTTTGTTTTTCAGATAACACCTCAAGAATCATCAAAAGGTTGTCACTTAGCTTCACCAGTGCAAGAACTGATTGGTACTAGATCTTTTGGATGTGGGGTCAAATATATTAGTTATTTAACAGGTTTTATTAAACTTATTAAAAATAAGTATTTAAGTTATTGAACATATGGACACGCTAATTAACAGAAAAATACAAGAGTTTGAATTCTTGAAGTGACATTGGATAGATGTGATTTTTTTCCTTATGGCAAAATATATTTGAAAAACTTAAGTAGCTTATATATGTAAAACAGCACCTCTTAAAGAGTCCCAAGAAAAATGCATACACAGGAGATTAAGGCGCAGTTAAGTTAATACATAACTGGGCACTTCTTTGGCAGGCAAAGTGGTACTTGAATAGTAAACTTTCTTCCTTTAGAAGATCTCCAGACTTGATCCTGTAAACCTTAGGTGGAATTTTGGTGCAAGTATTTCACATGTTAAGAACTCCAAAGAGCATTATCTTCATCAAGCTTTAGCACAAGGAAAGTTGCTTTGATGTTAGCTAAGTGCAAAACTTCCACATCATATGGAAATGCAGTAACAAATCCTGTAGGATAAGGTGTACTTCTTGATCAGAAATTGGAGTAAATGAAGCGATCTGTTCCTGCAATGAAAATACCTTGTTTCTAAATATCAACCTATTTGAAAATAGTTTATTTTCCAAGACACTTAGCTTCTCTCTTGTATTATCTATATTAATTCAATGTGATTAAGAAAAACTTCTTTTCCTAGTCTATTATATGTTAATCATCCATTTAGCTTGGCAAAAATGTAGTGAAGTTTGCTATTATATTAAGAATATCTGTACCGTATGCAATGCAATTGATTCTAAATGCAGTAATACATTACTGGGTGTGTCCTAATAGTTTTTTGTCTGTTTTTATTTTGTTTGTTGGAATAGGCAACCAAGCCAATGTTTGCAGAAGGAAACTGGGGTTTGCAAGTGAATATTCTTCATCTAGATCTCTCCAGTTACATTTGCCTGGTGTTCCTGCTTCACTAGATACAATAACTGTACCCAGGCGTCAACCTCTTTCAGAAGTGAATGAAACTTACTATGATAGTATCTTGGAAGTATACCAGTCTGCAGATGAGGAATGCTCCTGGAGCAATGTAACACTTGGAGACTTGTATCCAGGGATGGTAGAGACGCTGACGAGGCTCATGAGAAAACATTTTCAGAGAAAAGTTTTTGACTCTGTAATTGGGCGCTATAGACGCAAAAGATGGCGTTCTAGAAAACCAAAGTTCAATGTCACTGTAGAGAAATTAAAAGGGTTCAGACCACTTAAATTGAAGCAAGCCGTACCAAGCATATGCAGTGGTAGTAGCAAACATGTCCAGAACTTATATTTTGGAAATAATGCAAATAAGAACAATGTATTCTGTGATAACAAGTGTTCCTTTAATAATTTAAATGGCCTGGTACATCATTCTCCCAGTGATGCAAATGAAATGGAAATGGATTGCTCTGATTCTAATTTAGAACATAATTCAGTATCTGGTAAAGGCCAAAATGTCTGTGACCTGTCTGTTCTTCCTAATGTTATGGCTAGAATGGGAGAGACCTTCCTAGTTGAAGATCCTTTACAGACTACTGCCTTACTGAAGAATTCAAAATGTAATGAAAGTGAAAAACTGGCTTACGAATGTTCTCCAGAATACCCTTCTAGAACAACTACTGTCAGTTCAGGGTCAGCAGCACTTCGTCTGGTAAAAGAGAGCAAAACTCACAAAATTGACTTTCCTTTTGATGATACTTCAGGAGTGTGCTCGTCAGTTTGCAGTTTCAGTAGCAATGGTAACAATTTTACACCAGTTATAAACAAATCTCTTAGAAGGACATCAAATACATTATTCAGAAATCCTGAAATAAAGATTCCTGAGAGGGGGATTTCTCTGCAGCGCAGCCACTCATTTTCCTCTTTGCCTGTGAGTCGGAGTCCTTCAAAGACTCACCAAAAATACGAAGATGCGTTTGAAGAGCTTTACCGCAAACTGTGTTCCAAAGAAATTCAAAAGCCTTTGACATTGACAAAACTGCCTTCAAACTCACAAAAGGTTAAGGAGAAGGGAGAATTAATGAAGAATACTTTAAGTGATGCTATGAGGTCCAATACACAGTATGACAGAGCATTTGAGAAGGTTTATCAGAAATTGTGTGGCGATAGTGTTCCAAAACTGCCTGGGCTTCAGAGAGCTTCAAACTTAATGAAATATGAAGTAATCCAGATGTCTGAAACTGTAAATGCTCTCGTTAACTCACCTGTTCGAACTTTATCTGCAATTCCTAGGGTTAAAAGACTAGCAAATGTTCAAAGTGATCTCCTTTCTTCACCGGTAAAGCGACTGAAAAATATACCTGAATGTTGTTTTTCTCCGACAGTGTATCAGCAGATTTCTCACAGAAAAACTGTTAATCTTCAGACAGTTGGCATGTTTTTTTCAAGCACATCCAGTGACAGTAGCACCAGCTTTTATGACAGTCACAACTGTCAGAGTCAGGTATTGGAGGACTTTGTAAGAAAATCATGTAATCTTTTGCTGATATTTGAAGAAAGGCTTTAAAAAAAAAAGGGGGGGGGGGTTGGAGTTGGACGGTCTTTAAACTATTCAGAACACTATTTTGGTTGGTAGGGTGTGTGTTTGTTTTGCAGAACAGTTCAAATGTAAACTATACCAAGTCTTGTGGATCCTCAAATTCTATGTGAGGAAACTGTTGCTGTATTTAATAGCCCTGAAAAAGGTTTTAAAATATTTAACAAAAACTTTCCTCTCATTTTAATAGATTGCGTCATTACTTAAAATCTCAAACAGCAGCCCAGTCAATTAAGGCATTGGAATCATGAGGCTTGTTTACTTGAGTTTTAAATCAGACCCTTAGTTCCAAGTTTCCAGTCACCACTTCTAGTGCAAGCTGTGAAGTAATACTTGAGGTTTTTCTGCTGATGTAATCTGTTGATGCTTTATTTTCAGGACTCTGGATTTCATGCTTCTCGTGCTTCTCAAGATAACACCTTTCTTGTTAGTCCTCAAACCTCCCTGCAAGGTTAGTTTGAGAGACTTTGAGTTAATACTTCAGCAATCACAAGCCCTTATTTAAAGGTGAATCTATAGGTCTCCCCTGCAGACTCCCATCTAGATAACAGACCTTCTTCCTCAGTAATAAGTGAATGTGTTTAAGTTTGTTTAGTATGTAAGGAATCTAAGTAGAAAATGATTTGTTGAGTCACATATTGACTGCTGTTTAGCTTGTCTGTCTGCTAACTAGGAATTTTCCTGCTAGAATGTTACTTATTAGCTGCTGGTTTGCACTCTCCTTTTTTCCTGTTAAGATTATTGTTGCATTTAGTTTCTATATGTAAGCGTTCAGTAGGAAAGTGTACTTTATCAATTGCATTTTTTCTGATAGCAACAATTTCTTCCCTGACGTTGTACATAATCATGAACTACTTGTACCTTTTTCTAATGGTAATAAATTATGAGCCCTTTGAAGAAAGTTAGCTTTATACTTAAATATATACAGTGCTTTTGAATTGTACTTGAATTACATTTTGCCAGAAGCTTTTGCCTTAAAATATTTTCATAAGGGAATGTGCTGACTGAAATATGATAATTATTACCAATGTCTTACTAGGCTAATATTTTAACAACTTACTGTAGTGTCCATGCTACTTTGCGTGGTGCTTGCCCATTTCATTCTGTTATTTTTTTTATCATCAGCAGAGTCTGGAATTGCAGATGTCCACTCTGATAGGCCTAGAACACTGCAGAATTACACGTTTCCCAGAAGTGTACAGAAATGTCACCGAAGGTAAGTGCCTCTGGAGTTTCTGTCAAAGAAATTTCAAAGCAAGTTCTTGCATGTTCTATGCTTATATCGCAGACATGGAGGTGGTTGCTTACGGTCCTGCATCAGTGTATTTGTATGATAAAAATCAGCTTTGATCCTTGGGAGAGCCCAAGCTACTAAAACCTGCAGTCTTGAACACCAGGAGGCAAGTGTCTGTGGACAAAACTAGCCAGAGTCCAGCATGGAGTGGCCAACAAACAGGAGTTGTTACAAGTGGCCTTACTGAATAGCCACTCTAGTACTTATTTTCTCTTCATTTTAGAAGTGCTTTTCGTTTTAGCTATGACGTAACTACAGAATTGTTTTGGTTCTGGTTGTGTGCTTGAACTGACATGTCCTCTCAGATTCTTAAGATCCTTAAGATCCTGGAGAGTGCAGTATATTGGCATTTAAATAGCTTTCAAAAAAATGGCTCCTGTCCAGCCGGGGGCATACTTACCCCTGGTTTTGCTCTGTGCCAAACCAGCAGGGGCTCTTTGGAATGTACCCAAGATGCTCTGTTCCTCTTTTGTTATCACTATCAGCAGAGAATTTACATCTAGAGAAAACACTCCTTCCAGCTTCCTGGATGATGGCCTACTGCATTTATTTTCCGTAGTATGCTATTTTTGAAGACTTCTCAAACTTTAGATCTCTGGGACTCTGAATTATGAGACAATTTTATAAGGCAGCAAGATTAAAAGGCATTCAAATTTTGCTAAACAATCTCCTTTTATTTTCTGAAACATTGCTGTGACACAGAAAACTTCTGAAAAAATCTAATTTGGCACCCCAAGGTGCACTGGCTTCCCAAACTCAAAGTCAGAAGATGTTTTCACTATACTTGAGGTGATCGTACAGCTGGTATCAAATTTTTTCTGACAATATTCAGATTAAAATTTCCAAAGAAGACTGAGTGCATTTTGAAACTATTTGTATGGAGATCTTAACCAGAAAGAGGCTGCCTTATTTAAAGGAAACAGTTTCGGTTTAAGCAAAGATGCAATTAAAACTTGAAGGTATTTATATTACAAGTACAGAATGATATTAATAAAGATTGTATTAAGATTATTTTTGATATAGTGGAATATTGGAAGGAAGCTGATGAGTAACGAAGGATGCTTCTGTGATCTTGAATATGTCCATTTAGCATTTAGCTAAACGAATTTTACTCAGCTAGTGAATTTAATTGTTTTTCTCCCTTTTTCCTGACTCCACACAAAATAACCCTCCCTATGAGATTACTGAATTGTTTTGAAGAACAAAGAGGATTTCGTTTCCTTAGTGCCTGCAAGTCATTAAGTTTGGGAGAGAGCAGGAAATCAGGATTTTAGTGAGTGCTTTCTTTCTCAACCATCTGGAATAAAATCTATTTCTTTGTTCCTTAATTACACAAATACATACTTCTTGATTTGTAACCTAAATGAACTGTCAGCTGGCAAGGTTCCTTAAGCCTGGGGTTTGATTGTTCTTAGACTTCTGTGGCTGTAATAAACATTCCAGGAGCTCTTCTTTAATGGCTTCTGATCCCTCAGAAGTTTTATGCCTAAGCCAGGTGGCAAGATGCTATATGCTGCAATGAATATTTGGGGGTGGGGGTAGGAATATTCTCATCTTGTCTGGAACTTGACTGTCTCCATCTAGAAGCTGATTATAAGAGACATTTCAGAAATGTCCATAAGTAATTAACTTTTCTGTATCTCTGTATAACTGTTGCCTTACGACTATACTGTTATACCAAACTTTCAGATGTAAACTAGATTGGTTTAAAACAGATCCAAGAAACATGTTGCCATTTCTTCAGTAACAGCAGAGAAATAATTGTATTCTCACTTACTGCAACATGTCTTTCATATGTAGCTATTTGTGAATACATTCAGCAATTGCATCTCAACACTAACAGATATTTGTATGAACATAAAAGTTAATGCAGTAGCATTACGAAGATGTTAAAATGACATAAGATGGAAAGTTTCTACTTCAGCTGAATGCATGCAGGCAAGGAAGCCTACTGCAGGTCACCCTTAAGATGTTCAGATACCTTGATTTGGCAATTTGTTTCAGTTTTATTCTGTTTATTGTAAACTAACCAGGAAGCAAGCGTAGTGTTTTTGTTTAATTTACTGTGACTTTAATCTAAACAATTATTTTATATAGGGTATCCAGAAAACTAAGCTACACTGATGGGAAAGACCGAAACCCTAGCATTCCCTTGGAGGACTTCCTAATCAAAACTCACCAAGGAGCATTCATGGACTGCTACAGAGAAAATGTTATTTTATAACTTTTTAAAATCAATTAATTATGAGTTGTAATTTAAATATTTTAATTAAGAGATTGCAATTCTTAGTAAGCAGGAACATTAATATAAAATTAGTCCTGATTTATACTTCCCTATAATATAAAACAAGCTCTAGGAGCTACATCCTCCCTTATGAAAGGCACTTCTTACCCCTCTGGTTTCATCAGGTATTTGCAAGGAATCAGGGTTCCTTTTTATGGCTGAGTTTGATTTCTGTATTTAATAAAAGATTTTATGATCTGTTATCTTTTTATCTGCTGACAAGCTTTGATATTTAATGTAGTGGTCATAAGGTATTAACAAGCTCTGTCTCTGCCTGAATTCCTACCTGCTTTATACATGTGGCATTACTAAATGCATGAAAAGCATCTAAACTTGCCTGGATGATCCAAATGCAGTATTATACACTATGACTTGTAATATGCCTAGTGTATAATTTTAATGTTTAATTTTTGAAGTAGCTCACCAAAGTCAATTGTTCAATAAAATTTTATACACTAATGGATTTGATATTTATATTCTTTTATGTTCTCACAAAGTTCTGTCTGACACAATACACAGAATCACAGAATGGTTGAAGAAGGGACCTCTAGAGACCTAATCCAACACCCTCCCCCACCTCCCCCTCCCTGCTGAAGCAGAGCATGTTGTCAGGATTGTGTCCAGATGGCTTCTGAATATCTCCAAGGATGGAGACTCCACAGCCTCTCTGGGCAACCTGTTACAGTGCTCAGATGCCCATATTGAGAAGTTGCATAACCCCATTAATGTTTTCTGTTCCAAAGTAACTTAAAGGTACACTGGAATTGTTCTTGGACATGTTTGACTCTAGGACTTCTACACAGCGACAGAACGAAGGCTTACCCAGGTGGGAAAGTAGATTTATTTAAAGAATGTAACAGTAGTTCATTCCATCTATGTAAATAACTTAATTTTAAGAGGTAGTTTTTTTACAAACCTTGAGGTGTTGGAAGATAAATAAGCTTATCTCATTGGCACCTTTTTGATGGTAGCGGTAGCTAGGAACTCCATTTTTGGAGTTTGATCCTTCAATGTCCACTTTTTTTGTCTACAGACTATATTCAGGGTGATATAGCTAAGTCAGTGCTGATAATTTCAATAATACTGGTTAGAAACTGGTGTGTTTGCAGTGATTGCCAGATGTTGTCATATCTTCTGGAGTGTACTGATGTCTTAATACCATTAAATTCTCATAGGACTACTTACTGTGTCCTTGTTTTTTGACTTCTGTCCCTCCTTCATTCCAAGTAATCTTTGTGTCTGCCACCATATCTCCTCCTCTTTACTATTACTTGCTTCACTGTTCTGTTGAACTGATATTTTGAATGAATGCTAAGCTTACTTTAAATAAAAACAGCTTCAGTCCTTTAAATTGCCACTCTACACCTATGTTGTAAGGAATGGTCTTAAAAAAAGGTTTCTGAGACAGTATAAATATACACTCAGCATTTCCTTTTTGTATTTTGTTGTAATTATTTCTGAAGCTTTCTTTATATGTTAAGAATTTGTTAAGTAATGCTTAAAAGGTTCTGTGGGTCTTTCTATAATGGCTTGAAGAGGGAGCAAGACTGAACATGTATTTTCTTACAATAATTAAGTCATTTGAGAAGTATCACCTAAACTAAAGACGTTTTAAATACTCTTTAGTTATTTAAGCAAACAGAGGGTAAAGATCTGGAGGAATAATTCCTGAACTGTTTGCAGTTCAGAGAGGAAAGCTGAATCTGGACTGTAGCAGCATGAGGAAATGCCTCAGAAAGAGTTGATGGGCCATGAAAGTTAATCCAGAAGTGGAAGCTATAAGAACTGCAGTGAATAATTTAATGAAAGCAGTGATCAAATTTAAAAAGGAAGTAAAAATTGAAGGAGAATATTTACAGAAAGTACCATACTCCAGCGAAATAAGTTGCACGGAAAAGCAGTTGCTGAAAATTGGTGTAAATAAATAGCCAGACTACACAACAAAGACTAAGAATGTAGAAGGAACTAAATGTGCCAAAACCTGATTAAGTGTGCTTATTAAGTGTGCAGTCAATGAGGGAAGTGTGTGCTTTATTTCTGTTAAACTAATGATCAGGCTGAACTGACAGGTTTAATTTAGGTAGCTTGTGGAAGTTCTTTGACCTTAGAGTCTTTAGAGGAAAAGCATAACCAACAGCACAAATGTTGCGAGAAACTTGGGGAATAGCTGTTCTTGAGCAAAGCTACACAAATTGTTATGAAAATTATGAAAACATCCCTTTTCTTATGTATGTTTGAAAAACAGTGGTAAATAGACTCTTGGATCTGTGCTTATTTGCTTGAGAGCTAGTTCAAGAAAGCTTTTACCTTTAATCATCTCAGAGGGTCTGAATATTGCATGCGATTGGTGTGTCAGCTAAATGGAAATATTTTATATAAATATTTTACATAATCATCGTTAATGCTATTCACATAATTTTAATGTATGCGACTAGGCAGGAGCCTGTTGACGCATATTTTATTTTGCCTTTATTTCGTTCCTAGTATGGAACTTGGCTATAAATAATTCCATCCAACTCAATCAAATTAGGATAGTTCTTCATGCTCTGATCTCTCGATGTTTAGCTTTGGATTTTTTTTTCCTTAAGATCTCAGTTCAGAGAATAGTTTAATGTAATGCTCCATTAAAGTATTTTCTGTTGATTCTCCGAAAGTACTTTTTGCTGCTTCTGCAATGGTAGTTGGTCTAAGGCCATGGCAACACAGTCATTTTCATGCTTATTAAGTCTGCATCACTTCTGAGGTAATAGTAGCCAAATATGTGTTGACCTGGCTTCTCCATATGAAGGTACATGCTAGCTTATGAGAGGCAGTGGCACAGGCAGCTGGGCTGTGGGGTTGGCCCCTTCTTGATCTAGCGTAGAAGTTATGCCATGTTAAAGAGGCTCATTAACTGTGAGCTAAGCTCAGACATGGACCAGCCTGTTGCTGAACTGTTTCTTTTACAGTGACTTTTTTTTTTCCCCCCCTTCATACATTTGCCACATTTCTGGACACGTCCAGCCACTTCTGCTTTTGCAGCAGGTGTTGGCTCTTTGCACAAGGGGTTTTTTTCTGTTTTGTAACTGTTCTCGGGGCTGATAGCTCTCCTTCAGGAGCTGAAGTGCTCTCAGGGCTCTATATGTGCTCTTGAGCTCTCTGGCACTGTGCTCTGTATGGATTTTAAAGGCCCCGGTATGTTTTCCTGAGAAGACAAAACTATCTGACACCTGGAGTATGCATATTACATCAACAGTGTCTTATTTCTTCATGCTACTGCTACATCATGACTCCCAGAATGTGTTGCATAAAAATGAATTCTCTTTATAAAAAGCTTACCATCTGATGAGGTTAAAGTCTAAAGATGAACATGAACACTGTAAAAAAAATGAGGAGAATGTGCTCTTTATACTCTCTTAAAATACGTGTTAAAAATGATAATATAAAACCCAGTAGGAATTTAAACATCAATTATAATATTGGAAGGGAAAATCCTCCCTGGGAGTTTTATTTTTACAGATCATTTGCCAATATCTTTACAAACTGTTGGATATGGACAGATACAGCATTATGTTAGTAGAAGAATGAAGATTTGAGATGTGTTCTGGTATTGCTCACAAAAGAAAACTAAAGGTGTATAAGAGTATTGTTAAATTTTACTAGATGCACAAGTACTGGTTTAAACAAACTATTAAATTATTCTCTGATTAGCTTTAGATATATTCTTGTATTATTGTAGACTAGTCACAATGGGAAAGTACAAAATGTTGAATAGCAGAACAGTTTTTAACTGAAAAATCAACTAACTCCTTAGCTGTGCAAATGTGAAAATCCATTTGTTTCCAAAGGGTGGTGTTAAAAACCGCATTGCTAAAACTTGCATAGAAGAACAGTTAAAGTGTGCTAGAGCTCTGCAAACAATCGAGTGGGTCTTTTGGGGCTATTTGAAGTTGGAATTACACATGGTCCTTGGAAACAAAGGATTAAATTTTACCGGAATAAATACTAGGTCAATACTTAGGCTTTGGAGTTAAATTCTGAGATACCAGGACCTACAGTTCCCTTTCCAAAGATGTTTTGAAGGGTAGGCCCTTCAAAGTGGTAGTCTGAGTCTGTAGTTACTTCCTGCGTAGTCCATAGATACGCTTGGAAGACAACTTGAACACTTAACTTACCCTTTTTACACCATTGATATGTCAGTTTGCCAGGACATTATAATCATTCATTGTTCCTCCAGAATGGACAAGCAGGTCTCACTTTATGCTTACATACTTGCTTCATGAATCCACTTCAAATGTTCTCCTTTGTTGTATGAATCAAGCCCATTAATCGGATGGGATCATCATGAATAGCTTCTACCTTTGCTGTGTTTTCAGCAGCCAGCTGCTCGCTATTGAGATAAATGCTGACTTTGGAAGGCACGGTGGTGAGTTTACATGGTCTTTCTTCTTCATCTTCTAATGAAGACTCTTTCTTTCTCCTTGGTTTTCTGCGTTTTCCCTTGATACTGTGATCAAGTGAGGCATAGCACATCTGATTGGCAGACTCCACCTGGAAGGAAATTCACTTTATGTTTAACATTCAGTAGTAATGCCTGCCTTAAAATTATCTAAGACAGATCTACGCAAAGCCTTACATAGTCGTGACTGAAGTTTGCCAAAACTAGCTGTAAATGAACTCGTAGAAAGTACAACTAATTAAGCTGTGGCAGCAGAGAAACCAGACCGATATACCCTAATGGTTAAGTGACTCAATGCTAAGGAAAAGTTCATCGAGGTGTCATCAGAAAGATTCTCCAATGGAAAAAGGGTATTGTATTAGTCCAAGTTCTTTGGGATGCAAGACACTATTTGACCTGCTTTTTTTAAATTATTTATTAGAATCCAGTCATTAGCGACAACATTTTTCACAGGCTTCGTCTGTCTGGAAAGCCAAAGTCTTGTCTGTATACATAATCTGTTTTCCAGTGTGAAATCTATGCTGCGTGTATGTTTCCTCTGCTCCTATCCATGTTTTTCAAACAAAACTGTGAAGCACTTGTGATATAGGAGCTTTTATAGATGATAGTGTTTCTGTGAATTTTATGAAAACAAGTGTCCAGGTAAAGGATATTTGTGCCCCCTGGATGTCTCTTGGGGGAAAGGAGAAGCTGGAGTGACTCCTTATTAAATACCTGAAAACCAACACAGGAATTGATGCTACGAATGGTTCAATTACAGAAAAAAATCAGTTGAAGCTTGCATGTTTTTAGGCATCCAAGTGATTCAACAAAATACAAATCATGATCAAGATCAGGCTTCTTTCATTTGTTAAAGCATACAGATTTTGTGCTGGTCGGGAGAGAGTCATTAAAATAAATGATCATCATGTGACCACAGCCTGGTTTTTGGTTTTTTTTTTGATTAATAACCAGAAGAAATAAAATTAATTCCTCACATAAGCTAAGGCGGTAGATGCAGGCTTAATTTAGCCTGTTCTGCATGCTTGTAACTGAGCTTTATCATGCCATATGGATGGAAACGTGCTACCCATAACTCTGTTCCCTCATTAATGACCCAAACTGAGCAAAGGGCCAAGTCTGTGCTTAAATTCACTGATGAATTGAGGCACGGTAATTTTTCTAATGAGCAGCGTGAGGACTTTTGTTATGTATTGTCACGGGGTAAATACAAGAGCTTGGAGACGACAGACCAGCATACCCTAAATCAGAAATCCAAAACCAAATTGAAAGTAAAGATACCTGTAGTTCATTAACTGGCCTTTGAGGCTGGGACTTCATCTGCTCGTAACAACATTCCTCTAGAATTGATCAAAGTAAACAAAAAATTGGTTATTAAAACAGCCTACTGAGGATTTAAAGATCAGCCAGATCCCTCCCTACTACAGTACTAGCTCGCCCCAAATTTTCTTTGGTAGAAATTTGGGGTTTTTTTTGTTTTGAAGTCTTGCACATAGATATCTCCCTCTACTTATAGAGGGGCAAATAGCTAGGAAATTCAGATGTGCGTGCTCTGAAACCAAAATTCATTTTCTATACTTACAGACGGGAATTTTTTCATTATTCTATAAGTGGATGTCGTCTTAGGCTGTGTATTTGGCGTATTTGTTAGTGTAGGCAATCTCTTCAGGTATGAGGCTAAGCAGAGTTCAGGAGGAACACTTGTTGGCTGAGAGTGATGCTGTGAGTTGCAGGAGTTACTGATTAAATTCTATTCCTGACTCTGCCTTTAATTTTCTGTGATGTTAATTCGAGTTATTTTCTCATGCCACATCTCAGTGTAGACATCAGTAGGATAGATTACTTCGTTACAGTTTTTAGGTTTATGCAGTGCCAATGCATTCAGGTGTCGATTTAGCCAAATTTATGCAAATTTTATATGTGAAAATTGATTTTTCCCATTAAGTACTTTAGTTCAGTTTTGCTTACCCCCAAATAAGACTAGCAAAAAAGTTGCATCCATGTTACCTAATGTACTGCTTTAACATTGTAAGGGCTCTGAGACCCACGCTTCAACATATCTAGCTCTAGCTGCAGTTACGTGATATTACTGCCACAAATGTGGCACCTCTCTGCCAGGGATTATTGCTTCTGCTCAGCAAAGGAGAGGAAAGCTATGCCTGCCCACCATTCAGCCACTGTGGGCCGTGTTTGCCCACATTGCTGATGTGCAAGTTTGCAATAAGAGATGGATCTGTGAATATCCATGGCAGAAAACAGGTAAGTGTTTCTTTCTACCAGCTTCTGTGAGGACAGCGACTTTGGGCAGAGGGTAATTTTGTCTTGGATTGCTTTAATGCACATGAATCAAGCTGTTACTTAAAGAGATGCAGCTTTACATGTAGAAAAGGTCTTATTTTTGAGATGTTTTGCTGAATAGGAGTGTTTGGATTGTAAAAGTCAAACTCAGTGTGCGATCTGGTCTTACGAATAGTAATGCAGTATGGTGGTTTGCAGTTCTATTCCCAAGTAAGGATTAATACAGCAATTAAAAAGCAGATGATTCTCATGTTTGCTATTTAAGAAGCACAGAGTGTTGATCACTCTGCTTTTAACCATGCATTTATTATATTTACCGAATAGAAATGTTTTTAAGTGAAGCTTACCTAAAATATCTTGACTGAGATTGCCATAAACTGGGTCATCTTCTGTGTAATAGTCATCATAGCTAGAATGGGAATAGAGAATACTTTTAATTGGCATAATAAGCTTAATTTAGGACCCCCCTATTCTATTCTAAGCATTTTACACATATATAGAAATAGCAGATTGTGTGTGACCTGAAAGATTGTCTAAAAAATATGGGGTGGAAAATATAACAGTCTTATAGCAGGGGAAGAAAAGGTATTGTCCATACTCTGAAGAGGGATCTGCTCTCTAATGAAGAATTGAACTCTTATTTCCTGTATCTTAGTTAACATAAAGCTAATCTCAAGATTACTAAGCTACTGTTTGATATAGTTCTAGAAATAGTAATTATCACTTAACTTCTGTGAACTAAATCACTTACTGAAGAGGACTGAAAAGGAGTTCACTGGTCAGTGTGTCCAATATCTTACTTTATCTGGCAGGCATACCATGTAATCCTTTTGAGAATTGCATCAAACTTTTCTTATCTTGCTACTCATTTTCACTCTGACTGCTCTAATATGGAGCTTTCCTTCACCAACAGAATTTTATTCAGTTAAGATACCCATTTCTTCAGGAGCCAAGTCCTTCAGCCCAGAGAAACGTGCTCCTTTTCAGGTGATCGCCCCTTTCATGCACTAGCTACTGAGCCTTGCCTTTACAAGCTACATGGGACAAGTCGTGGGGAAGGAGGAAAAGGTCAAAGAGGCCCATGCCTAGGTAGTCGTGTGGCACAGCGGGAGCACGTCCGTAGAGTGAAACAGTTGATGCTGAGGAATGGCCAGCACCACCCTATGCATTTGGGAGGGGTTAAATTTGAATTAGCTCAAGTCTAGTCCCATGCACTGAACGCCCATGAGCAGCTGGGGTATGTGAGGAGCAGTCCTGGAGCATGGCTTCTAGCTTAGTCTCATCTGAAAGGAACCCAGTCCATGTGCTCTGAGACCACTTTGCAATACAAACTGAAGTACTAAATAGGGCTCTTTGAGAGGTTTTCTTAAAAAGTGCCCTCCTGAATCAAACTAAAATACTTACATGGGCACACCTAGAAAAGATCAAGGCAAAGTTCAGCTTTGGGAATTTGATAGCGTTCTGTATTTCATGACCTGATGTTGCTTGAAAACGTGTTAAGTAAGTTCATGAAAATGGGAACTGTAAATGGGAAACCTTGGGTGACCCTGACCCTGCTGCATCCCCATACCGTGCCTCTTCAAGAGGATAAAGTAATGCAATATAACACCACTTTTCAGTGATGTTCTTTAACTGAACAGACCTGGTAATATATAAACTGACAGACTTCCCAGTTTCAGGCAAATGGGTAGCTGGGGGTTGTTTTGGACAGGGAGGGGAAGAATTTTGTATTTTCTTTTCTAAGGGCCTTTTACATTTAGAGTGAGATGAAATTCTTTCCATCTCTATTTTCTGAAACAGTTGTTTTGATATGGGATAAGAGAAACAGACTGGTAACAGATCATGAGCCATACAGCAGCTGTGAGTGATGTAAACAGACTGTTTTATTGCTTTTGAATGGAGTGTGTAAAAGAGGGGTATGAAGTGTAAATACATATGAATTACTGCTGCACGAGTATACAGTATCAGACTATAATTTATCATTGTGTTCTGAGAGCTCCATTTAATTATTACAGGGTCATTCAGATTGAGTGATAATAAATAATGTTTTAGCTCAATATCTTGCATTTAAATATATCAAATTTATCATATTAGCATTACATTATTTGATTATTGGTAAAATGAATGCAATGTATCTGTCCAATGCAAGAGTTCTCCTACTTTCTTCGGAAAACATTTATTCATAACCATCCCACTCTCTGATATTTCTAGGTAGGTTTCATGAGATCACTGGAATTTCCTCTGTGCCACCCTCTAAAGCCATCTATCATTATTTATTTCCTGTTTCACCCATGTTGGAAAGAAATGTTTTTTATCCAACCTACCTTGGACTGTAGTCTTCATAGTCTTTATACATTTTAGCTGGAAAATGTGTTTAAAAATAAAGAAAGTGAAAAGAAAGGTAAATGTGGTACCGTCGAATGTCTTAGATTATTGTCTTAACTGCTTTCAATATCACTGTAGAGGGTTAAAATTGAAACCTCTAGGCTCTCAGCACCTTCAGTTGGCCCCCTTCTTTACTCAAATACTTTTAATTTAACACTACTGTAAGAAACGCTTATGAGTCCGAGCTATGTTTATAGACTCTACTTAGGTTAGGACGATCCTTCTTCCAAGTCCCATTTGGTCAAGTAGTGTATCTGTATAACAAAGATAGTCCTTTCCCCCAAAATGTGTTCTAACACATAGGACTGATTCCTTGTTTCTTCCTCCTCTTTCTTCTACTTTATCTTTTTCTCTGGCTGGTGCGTCATATGTTTATATTGCAAGATGAAGAGTTCATTCATTTTACTAGCTTTGTTGCTTGTATTTCTGAAAGAGAGATCCTGTGACCCACAGAGGAAGAAACTGAAGCAGAGATGCAATGGCTACCAACAGAGTTGTTGTTGCTAGAGCTTGATTAATAACTTGGGAATGCCCAACTTTCTATCCTGTGCTCTAGGACTCCAGAATTTACTGTAAGTAAGATCCATTGCCATGAATACTGCAACATGAGCCAACCTGATTGCAACCTTCCTTAAGGTTAGTTTTGTAAATAGCTGGTTTTTCTTCATAGAAGAACCTGTCGAGTAACATTAGAAGACAAAACAAACAAAAAAGCAACCTCCCCCCAACTCTCAAGCAGCTATTTTAGTATCCTGTAGTTCTACCAGTTCTCTTCTTCTTAGCGAATTCAGTTTATAAGCATAGGACTTCTATTTATGTAAATTAAGTATGTATGTGGATATATTTAAAGAGGTCGAATCCATCAGTGTTTGCCTGCCCGCTCCTACACATACAGCACAGGTACCAGTTTTCCTGTGTAAAGGTGGTTTTTCCTGAATAGCAGAGGAGAGGACTGCACAACTGAGTAACTATATTATTGTATGCATAAGACAGATTGTACTGGCATAATCAATTCTGTTTAGAAAAAAAAAAGTCATAGTTAATTTTAACCAAAAATAGAGTACGACTGCGGTCACTGTGCAACATACGTTAAACGAATTTGTTCCTTATTGTTAGTGACACATTGGTTTAACAGCTACATTAGGATCTCCCAATGAAAAGCACTTGGAACATTTTTTCAAAACTGATTAAATGTAAAATGTATATGAAATCTGAAATTCAAATTAGCATTCAGGAATTTTAGGAGGAGAAAGTTTTCTCAAATACATTTTGTATTAACACAGTTACTTAAAACCTTTTTTTAAATTCAGGCAGAGATGTAAAATTAGTTACATGAAAAGCACCCTTAAAAAAAAAGGAATAATACACTCCTAAAACATACTTAAAAATAAAAGTTTATCCAGAACTACGTTCTTCACTTTGTACATGTTCTGTGGGTTTGTGGTTAGAGAATGGATAGTTGTTTATAGCAGAGGGTTGGGCAGCTAGTAATCATTCTGTAATCATATCTAACTGTTCTAAATATATATGTATATAAAAATATACTATATAATATATAATATATATTAATATAGAGTATAATATGTATATTATATATTGTATAATGCATACTTATTTTTGTAAAAAATCAGGTCCTCACTAGTAGAATCATTCTTGCCAAAAGATGACTTTAAGTTTGAAAAGAATCAATTTATTGGCTTGGCATCTCCTAGCAGTGATGGCTTTCTCTACAAGTACCTTCAAATACTCAAACTCTATTCCTTAGAGGGACATCACTTACCTTCTTGCTTCTTTTTCATATAGTGTGAAATATTCAGTATCAGTGAAATAATCAGAGCCAAACTCAGAAAGGCCAAAATTCCCCAGACAGAAAAATGGCAATCCATTTCTGCACCTGAAAGAAAATCCTTTTATAGTAAGTGTTGTCTTAACAGTTGTCCTGAGTTCTTCGTGGCTGGTTGATTTCTGCTTTCTGTAATTCAAGCTGCTATTTTGTTGTTTACTCTGTGACAGCCATTGCTATACTAGCTGAACAATTAATATAAAAAATACATGCTAAATAATAAACAGCAACATGGATAAACTGTTAATGGAGCTAGTTTCACAATTCAGCCAAAGGATGGGCTACTGGCTTGCCTGTAGGATACCGTAAAACCCTGGGTTTTGCTGATGGAAAAGGTCATTTTAATGAATAGCGTTGAAATTATCATTGTAATTATCTTGAACTTATTGTTTGCAATAGCTCCTTGGCTGAATGGCGGAGTTTATGAATCAAGTCCTGAAGATGACCTCTATTCAGTCAAAACAATTTATGTTACTGGAAATTTATCTGAATAATAACTAAGGCCATAGGGTTGTGACTCTCCTTCTCACAAAATTTCGAAGGTTGCTTGTGTGTGTTTTCTTGCATCTCTTATTAAAAACATTTACCTTTACCATGTCCCCAGTCTCCTTCCTGAGGAAACAGAAGACATGATAGCAAAAGAAGAGCAGTAGCTGGGAACCAGCGAGCCCCCCAGACTGTGTGCGCAGCAAGAACCACTTAGGAAAGAGTAAGTAAACATAATTGAACTAAGCCTCTCTTTGCACTAAACCTGCCTCTCCTTGGAGCTCTGTTAGAAACACAGGAGGGAACCTCCTCATAACAAGTGTATTTTATCATTTAATTAATCCTTCAATTAATCTAGCTCATGCTAGTTTTCCATCACACCTTGTTAAAGACAGTAGGCTATTTGTGACAGTCTGATCGCCAAGATGACCAGTGTAGCTGCAAAGGACCTGGGAAATCCTTCCTTAACAGAGGAAATACTGAGCCAAATACGAGTGGAGCATGAAATCTAGATTTGCACTTTCCCCAAGGTGTGTTCTCTTCATCTAAGGTGTTTGAAACAAAGTCTGGTCCAAAAAACTAATAAACTACACTAATACTGCACAAAAAGGTTTGGCTGGAACAAAGAAGTCAAGGGGAGAGGTTGAGTGATACTGTCAGGGTGAGATTTGAGCAAGCCCATATTATTCCTTTTATTTGGTTCCCATGTAGCTGGATTCTTTCAGTGTTTTGGCATTTTGTTCATTTCTCAAAGGAAGGCTGATGTAAAGGAAAACAAGAAAATACATTCTCACATTGCAAGTGGAGGAAATGCATTTTCTGCTGCAGAGAAGGCAGAGTGTTGCTGTTCCTTGACTCGCTGGCTCCAGCTCATCTTAGGACCTGCCCCTCTGGTTGTGCTACTTTGTTTTTGTTCCCTAATGATGCTGGTGTTGCAAAAGCTCTTTTAGTTTTGGTTTATTCCAAGCCACAGATGTTTTTATGATGATGGAACAATATAAGAGAATCCTTGGTAGTGAAAAATCACAAATCACAGGCTTCTATGATGCAGATTTCCCTCCTGATTAAAGCACTCTTAAAAAACACAAGGCAGTAGATAATCTGTACTTTCTGACAAGCTTGTGACTGTTTTTGCACATGGTCCTTCCAGCCATGCTCCCTCTGTTTATTGTTCCTTTCAAACTAAACATCCCATCTCCATTCCTTTCTTCTTCCCGCTCTAGTTCTCCCAAAGGTGTTTCAGGGCTCTCCATCACTGCAATGACACTTTTCATGTTGACAGGCACTTTTCTCCAGTGCAGTACAGTCATTCAGGAAAGCAGACAAAATCGCCTGTGAGGCAGCTATATTCCATTTTTTCAGAGGACGAGCTGAAAGCAAGGGACGTCTTGCCTTATGAAGAACAACCTGTGTTTGGAACCTCGTGGATGAGTTAGCTGCACTCTGAAATTTGCATCCTATGCAAATGATCCAAAACAATGACAAGTCTTTATCAAAGTCAGGAACTTTTGATCTAGTGCCTTAATCATAAGATCATCCTTCTTCCTTCTCCTGTCTTCTTATCTTGTCTGAAGTGACTGTTTTCCTTTTTTCTTGTGTTCATTTCTCATTGCTTTTCCTAAAAATTTATTTTGTTTGAGGAATAACAAAAGTATCATGGCCGGAAGGAAAGGAAGTGCAAGTACTTCTAAATTCATTAGAATAAAAAGTGTGAGGAGATACCTAATGTGCAACTCAGACCTAAGTTTGTACCTTTTTCTTGGTAATGAATGGTACAATTATTTATTTATTTATTTTATTTACTTACTGAACTGGTACATTTATCTTTCTGCTTCAGGAATTCTACTTTTTCCTGATTTTCCCAGAGTAGGAGAAGAACTTTTAGGTACAAATTCAGTATTTTGAGCCCAAACTGAGGTAGAGGAGGTAACCAAATTTTTTGAGGACAAGTATTTTTTTCCTTAAGTGTTTCAGCTTCTTATTTACATTGGAATTATTAACTGAAAGACAGTAAAGGTTGGAAAACAGATGTTTCCCTTTTCAGTTTCACGTTTAACTTCTGCAATGTTTAAGTAATTCCACTTCTCTAGGTCTTTAGAAATAGTCTAGTAAAGCAGAAAGCCTGAAACTTGAATTTCTAATAAAACGTACCAATGTTATAAACCTCACAATCTATAGCTCTTCCTTAAACATAGTTTAAAAAATGCTATGGATGTGGAGGGTGGAAGAAAGCAAGTTTAATTTACTGCTAGCTGAACATGGCTTAGATTCTTAATTTTAAAATTTATTTTCCAAAACTCTGATTTAAATATCTCTTTGTGTTTCAGCAGAATGTATGCAAACATATGTGCCACTTAAGCATCTTCTTTTCAAATCTAACTCTGTCTTACCTTTGCAGTACGAGCCATTTGCTGGTCAGCCAATACTGCTTATGTTTTCGAAATAAAAACAATTTTCAAATCCCCCCATAAAGTCATAGCAAAAGCTTTGATCAGAGACACGAGTGCCTCTCCATGTGCCCTGTGCTTTTCTAATGTCAATTTTAATTTAATCTTACTTTCCAAGTACAAAGTATGAGGCTTTTTTTTAATAGCTGAGCTTTACAGAGATACAACTCCCTGCTCTTTCCCACCTCCCAACTGTTCTTTTACTGCTCTTATAGAGGTTACCAATATGCTAGCTGATTACAGTTATAACTGAATTATTTAAATACTTACTATGCTGACAACAGCAACAGTACAGGGAAACCTGAACACTTCTGTGAAGAACAATTTGTCTCCACAGATAACTACAGCAGTGTCTCTATACATATGACAGCAAATTGTGACAGCCAACTGGCTATGCTAAAGACAAAAAAAAAGAAGGCAAGTGTGAATGGAAAGTGAAAAATAAACAGAAAGAGAAGTCTATTTATTAGACTAATTATTAGCTTAGGGTGGTTTGAAATAGTATCCTTTATTCTATCCTCTAATTTTAATTCTAAGCAATCATCTAATGTCAAATGTGGCAAAATCAATTTTTTAAATATATTGTTTATTCAAAAGATTCTTAGCACAGCATTCAAAGGCATTCGCACTACCTATGCAAATAAGTTATTAAATTGAAATTACAAAAAAAAATTAGCTTTAAAAAAAAGGCCTAAGGAAAAATTAGACCAATGAGAATAACAGACTATGATAAGCCCAAATTCTGTGAGGGTTTTCAGCGATAGTCTAGCTGTGATAGGAAAACCTGAGAGTGACAGTAGTTTATTCATGAGCAATAATACTGAAGTTGTTCTTGAGGTGGTGCGAAGGAAAAGATTTCATCATACAGCCAAAGGTTTTTCACGAGCAGGATGAGAATTCTGGTTTTCATGTACGAACAGCTGGGAAGGGGGAGCAAGTACTCACTGCAAAGATGCCAGTTTCTTTGAATGCCTAATACCAGAATCTTTTTAGTATTAATGGTACTGCTATTTTTTCGTTTCTAGTTTGGAAACGGGATCAAACTCGGAGACACATCTAAGTGTAACTTCTACCTAAGGTAACTTACTCCATCAGATGATGACTTTTCTTTTCTGCCTTTAGGGACAGGGTTACTTATCTCCCTTTAGTATATTTTACACTGCTCTAAATTAACGGTTCTACATTCATGTAACAACATCTAAGGCATTAAAAACAAACAAAGGCTTGCTAAAGTTGCAGTTAGCTGTGCTTTTTCTTCTCTTTGAATCTCTTCTGACAACTTTCTCCACCAAGAGAGACAAAATACAGGATAAACAGACATTTGGTCAGGCTCGCTGTAGTTGTTTTATGTTTGCAGGGTCCATTCTAATGTAATTGGAAAACAAACAAACAAAATCTCTTCTAGACTGATTTTTGCTATTCAGTATTACTGTAACTCCAAGGAGTGGACATAATGATTCTTTCATAAAAATGTACTTACTTTTGAGAAAGGGGCAGTTTTAATGATTTGTGGCTGAGGATGGATGTTTTATCCTCCTAAGAGCAAAAGAATAGGGAGTA